AGCCAGTAAGTGGCAGAGCAGATTTGAACCCAGGAAGTCTGATTCCAGATCTGTTTTTTAACCATTATCTGAAAGATAAAAATTCCTTGCCATGCAAAAGCAACACCATAGCAAATGCCGAGGCATCCTGATCCACCCTAATCGCCTCTCAGGGATCCCTCACATGAACAGTCTGAAACCCCAGCACTGGGGTCTCAATGACCATGCAACCATCATGGAAAAACTGTCCCCCTGGAATCTTAGGAGATTCTTATAAGCTGACATCAAGTTCTTTCTTTCTTTTTTAATTGTTTACCACCTTAGGTCCTCCTCTGTCTTTTATAAATTTACTCCCTGCCCTTGCTTTCCCAGGTGTTACTCCTATAGCTACTTGTCAGTGGATTCTTTCCTCTTCTGGTTCTCAATCAGAATCAGAGGGACATAGTCAGTAGGCAGAAAGAAGTCCAAAGTCCAAGAAATGGACAAAAGAAATTTGGGAGAGATCAGGAAAAGAACCACCACTCTCCATAAACTGCCATGGCTCCCCATTGCACAGAAGGCAGAGTACTAATTCTCTAGCTTGGCCTGTGATTCTCTAACTCCATTATCTGCCTCCATCTCTCCTTTACAAAGCTATTCATATGCATTATTTTATGCATATGCTTTCAGACGCTTCACCACAGCCTCCTGGGGGAGGCATTATTATTCCCACTTTGCTGGGAATGACATTGAATCACTGGAGGCTAGATGACTTATCTAAGGTCCACAGAGTGGAGCCAGAATTTTATTGCAGGTATCTGGACCTCAACTCCCAAGTTCCATTGCACTACCATGTGCAGGAGCTTTGAGCAAAGGCCTCAAATGTGGATGAGCAATACCCATTCAGAAATGTTCAAATGATCTGGGGTGAAGTCAAAGTTCTTTAAACAGGACATGAGGTGACAAATCCAAGTTCTTTAAACAGGACATCTTTCTATACAAAAGAAGTTTGTAAAATTGTGAAGTGCTATATTTATTTTTTCTTATGACATATTATTAACTGGTCTGTATTTAAATGAAGCATGTTTACATACCTATGGCTACATGCCATAGAATATCACTAAGTCGAGTTCTACTGTCTTGGATCCAGATGATCTCCATCAAAGCAGATAAGATAAGAGCAAATTTTATAACTTAATAGTGTCATTCTCTTATTCAGCAGGCTGGAGTTATCTTCTCCTGGGGCCAGTATTTGGAATAAGAGGACATCTAGATTAAGAGAAATATATCTGTCATAGCTCTATATGATCCATCCCCCATTGGGAGGCCACAGCAATGATCTCTGTCTTGGTGACATCCAAGATCACGGTCTCCAGCCAGTCTGATCTCTGGCCCCTCAGCTGCTCGGCCCACTTCTCCATCAAACACATAGCCAGCACCCTTAAGCCTTGCAGGTCCAGCTGCCTGAAGCCCAGGTCACATGTCACAATTAAGTCATAGTTGTCTTGGAGGTGGCTAACCCACCATCCACCTCTTCCAAGATCAGCGCAGAAGGCAATAGAGCCACAGGGGAGGGAGAAGGAGAAACTCAGATCTCTCCTCCCTGGCAAACTTAGAGGATTTGGCATTTCTCTCCTTGCTTACAAAGCCCTCTGAAATATCTGCTGGGTGGAGTCTCAGTTCTGCATTTGAAATTGTTTACTTGCATTTCATTTTAATCTCCTGGTTGAGACTTGTGCCTATGAAACAAGCATGCACGGTCTTTAAAATCCTCCCACCTCCTGCTACTCTGTTCCGAAATTCCAAAAGCAACAGTTTATTCATTGTTCCAAGTTTGGCATTAAAATTCTCTGTATCTGTTTGTTCCAGTCCAGATGCAGTATTTACATTGTTCAAGAATGTCTCACAGGGTGACCAGCTGGCCCCATGATACTCTGGACTGTGATTTCTCTGCTCACCTTTCTCCTCTACTCCCCCTTCCCTTTTGGGTTGAGGTTCACTGGAGATCAGAGAACTTGCTGAGACTCCGGGAAAGGCAGGGACATCCCACAGAAGAAGAAAAGGCCCATGGAAGGCAGAGCCTCCTCTGTCTTCACAGGGAAAAAGCTGGGAGACGTGCCCAAGCAAGGCTGTTCAGAAGAAGGTTCAGAAGATCCCTGGAGACAGAAGCACATCCCATCCCAGCCACTGGCCAGAAACCCTGCTGCAAGGGTGTGTGTACAGAGACGTCTCCTAGGATGAGATGAAGCGAAAAGAACCCCAAGAATAGGATTTTAGAGCTGGAGGACCTGCTCTGCCCACAGCTTATAAAGTATCTGTTACCCTCTCTGGGACTCAGCTTCTTCCTCATTAAAACTAGAGCAATTACACCTACTGTTCAAGGTTGCTGTGAAGATTAAAGTCCTTAGAATAGTGCCTGGCATGTAGTAAGCACTATGTGTTTGCTGTAGTAGTGTGTGGTGAAAGGCAAGAGCTGACTCTTTCATTTATTAGCTATATAATCATGTGCAAATTACTTAAAGCCTCTGACCTTTGGTTTCCTCCTCCATAAAACAGAGGTAACCACAGGATTTACTGAAGAGATTAAATAAAATTAAATGGGTAATGCATGGAAAGCACTAAGCACAGTGTTTGGGACTGAGTAAATGTCCAATAAATGCTAGTTCTTATTATTTCTCTTATATTATTGGTGTATTTCCCTCATCATGTCTAGTCTTGCTCCTCTCAATATCCCTCAAATACAGCTCCTTCCAACTCACGCTCCAGTAACAGCAAAAGAGACCTTCTTTAAAAGTAAGTAGACTCAAAATCTGTAGTGATGTCAGTGGTTACCTGGAACCAGGGCAGAAAGAAAGGAGGATTAACCGCAAAGGGACACCAGGACTTTCTGTGATGAGACAAATGTTCTGTATCTTCACTGGTAATGGATTTCACAGGTATATTCAAATGTCAAAACTTTCAAACATTACAGTTAAAGAGATACATTTTGTCTAACAAAAACTTTGCCTCGATAACATTTGTTTTAAAAAAGGCACAAAAACTCCCTGGCCGTCTATTGCAGTGCTACATTTTCTCTTCTCCATGGCATTTATCTACATATAAAGTTATTTCATTCATTTCTTTATATGTCTATTGTCCAACTCCTCCCCACCATCAGAATAGACACTGCCTAAGGATTCTATCTTCTTCACCACTATAACTCCAGCCTGTAGAACATAGCACATAGAACTAGCCTGGCACATAGTTGGTACACAAAACACTGACAGATTGACTGATTATAATCCCTCAATGCTTCTACCTCCAAATTATATACTGATTTCATCCATTTTTATCACCCCTATTACCACCAGTTTAACCAGGCATCATTTCTTGCCTGGGTTATGCCATGATTTCCTTGCAGGTCTCCTTGCTTCCACCATTGCTCCTTCATTTCAGTCTCCACAGAGCCCCTATAGTGATCTTTTCAAAATGTAAATCAAATCACATTACTGACCTGCTTTCAAACATTTTTTTAAAGGTGGAGATAATTTGATTATGTGCCTGAAAAAGTGAATAAGAAACTGAAAGGCAATTTAAAACTACAGGAAAATACAAAAGCTATGAAAGAAATGTTATGATCCTAATGATATAAACTAAAATATAATATTAACAGCAGATATGAATCTCAGTCCACAAATTCAAAAAATACCTCAACTATTAATGATGGGGCAGCGAGTAGCTCTCAGAACAAAAAAATCAAGTCTTATATCTGCATAGGTTACCCTTTAAATGCCTGCTGTCACAGTCTACATGCCCTTTATGTCTGGCAAATCTCTACTGCCTTCCTGCCATGGTAAGACAGATGAATCTTCTGTGAGTTCACCCAAGCAAGGTCTCATCTGCCTAAACACACAATGCAGACATGACTCTCTTGAGTTTTACTAACTCCCCAAAATACTTCCAGAAAATGAATCCTAGTCCCTCTTCTCTGGAAGCTCCAAACACCACTTTCTTCTCTATCAGCCAGAATGAATCTCCTTGCCTTAGGGGAAAAGCCCTGCTTCTCTGAGACATTGTGTACACCCACAGGTCACATTCTCTTTTGCTTCTTTCCCCAAATCCTATAATTTCTCTAAAGATATTCAGGGGAAACTAAAGCAGAAATTGCAGAAAATGTATTTTTTTATGCTGTCAAATATTTCACCCTAGGTAAAGAAGTACCAAATTGGCTTCCTACTTGGGTGAGGAAAGGGAAACAGGAAAACAAGGAGCAGTGAAAGTGTGTTCATTAATATATCAAAAATATCACTTAACCATGATCTCTGCCTGTAGTGAATTTTTGTGTCTTCAACAAAGAAAATGTATTTTTGACCTAGATTCAACTCCCTCAATAACAGTGTCAGTTTTGAATTTTCCAGGTCAGTAGGTATTGTGACTGACTCCTCAACATTCCCATTCTATTCCACAATTAATGTAAACAATTCATGGCAACTTACCCCCTTGTCAGTGATTGATTCAGGGATGGTGAAACTTAAATCAATTTGGGTCATTGAAATTCAAGGACAGTCTTGGTGAAAACTCTGGGAAGGAACTTCCTCAATCTTTAATGCCATGGAAAGACAGGCTCTTTCTTTTCCTATAAGTTGTGACTGAGGAAGCACAGAGTTCCCCTTGCCACTGGCAGCCATACCACAACAATATGTAAAGATAATTGGATTTAAGATAAGCTAAAACTGTGGATGGCAGAGCAAAGAAATAGAAAGAACCTGCATATTTGATGACTTCAACCACTGAGTCTGGCCCTAACTCTTTTTTTATTGTTTAAGCCGATGTGAGTTGGATTTTCTGTTACTTACTGCTCAGTGCATCTTACCTGATACAGAATTTGGTGCCAGGAATAGAAGTGCTGCAAATAATAGACTTGGTGGTTTATATGATAGTCCCCCAAAAGATATGGCCACATCTGAATCCCTAGAATCTTAAGTGTTACTTATTTGGAAAAAGGGTCTTTGCAGGCATAATTATGTTTTATTTTGTTATTTTCAAGTTCAGTTTGGATGTTGAAGAGACACAAAGTAAAGACATTTTAATTAAAAAATTCACATTTGACCTTTATTATATGACCATTCCTCAAGATCAAAAAAGTCTTTCAAGAGAACTTCATATGGCTCAGAAGTTGAAGGCTTTTTATTTATTTATTTAGTTCCATGACTTATTTGATAGTGTTGCTAATTCCAGAAATTTATTCTCCTATAACTAGGGAATCTGAACACCTAGGTTCTATCTTGGCTACCATGCTGGGAGGCCTTGGGTAGGTTACTTCCTCCTCTGAGCTTTAGTTACTTCTGTAGAACTATCAGTGGTTCCCAACCTATTATCTAGGGTCTTGTTACAAATACAGATTTCTAGGCCACACCCCAAGCCTACTGAATCATATTTTCTAACATGGAGGCCCAGGGATCTGTATTTTTTATTAACCAGGTGATTATGATGTACAGCCAAGTTTGGGAACTACTGGACTAGATGAGCTCTAGGGTTCCTCATAGCTCTAAATATTTGATTATCTCACTTCTGTTTTTCTATTCCTGTTTGTGCTCTCTCTGCTACTAGGTATTGTGCTAAGCAACAAAATAACAAAATAAACAATTAAAAAAACCAAGACCATGATTTAATCATCTTTATATCCTTCCAGCACCTACACAGTGCCTGGTATGTCATAGCTGATCAATAAATATTTGAAAAAACAGTCAATGAAGATTAAACAAATGATGTTATTCCATGTGGCTCCCAATCACCTCTAAATAGAGAAATCTAAAGACAGGGAACACATATAAACTTTTGTCTGATATGATCTTGCACTCCCTGTCTGCCTTACTACATACTTCAAATAATGGATTATCTGAATGAGGTTAATGGATATTTAGAGACCCAATAGGAGAGTGGTTGAGATGCTTCTGTGGGCTAGATTATCCCACAGTATTTCCCAGTGGTGGTAATAACAGAGGCTCATGATTCAGCAGGGGCTGGTTTTCTTCTCCTGACTTTTCCAGGTCCAGAAAAAGCCATACCCTGGATAGGTTCAGGTGTTCATGGGGCCCTGCTGCAAAGTAAAGGCCACCTCAGGTTTCTGTGGGGCCTCCGTGACTGGGAAGAGGCACTTGTCTTCTGTTAGAAGTTACCCATAAATTCACCAGGCTTGGGTGTCAGCCAAGTAAAGTACCCCCCAGAATGTCTGACACCACCTCTGTGACCCCTCAGTCCCTTCTCCCATGCCCCTCTACTATACTCCACTGACCACCCCTTGGACTTCTGCAGCTCAGATACTGTCTGCTGGCCTTGGAAGGAACCGGCTCAGGATGAAATCTGTCACACGAGTGGGCAACTTAGCCAATGGAATGTAGAGGAGTTTAGCATCCAGGCCAGGGTTGTAGCGGATTCGGGGGCTGCGGGAAACAATGGCATGCTCCATGCTGTTGGTGACATCACGGATCCTCGGCTCTGCCAACTGCATGGTGTTTTTTAAGTTGTAAGTATCTGGGGGAAAAAAATAAACAAAAGCTCTATTATTCTTCATAAAAGCTGGCTTCTTCTGAATTCCATCCAAACTCTCTTTCCTTCAGATACCTGACCTAGAATTTCAGGCAGATCTACCATGGCCTCCAGGGGTCCCTTACACAAACACCCTATACATAATCTTATTTCTCTTCCTGAATTCAACAACTGTGTATTGAATTAATACGATTGCATTAGACTATCACTGAGGAGAACTATACCCAGTCTTGCTATGTACTAGGTATGTGACCTTGAGCATAAACTCATCCTCTGTGAAATGGGGATAATAACGCCTTCCCTAGGAAATAATACAGATTAATAATGGCAGAGTAGACAGTAGGGGAAGACAGGATAGAAAACAAGTGTATCTAAGTGCACAGAAAAATTGGAAGAAAATCAGTAAAAATACTGTCTGGCTGGTGGGATTCCTAGCCACTTTTCCTCCCTAGAGTTCCCAAATATTCTACAAAAGCTGCAGGATGAAACATTATTGAAAAATAATGACACTGTTCTGGCCTTGGTCCTAAGGCCACTGTGGGGCTCAGATGATCTGAGGCACAGACAGGCAGCTAGTAAGGGTCTAACGAATGTGAGGGGCTTTTCTGTTAGCATCTGCACCTGGGAATGGAGATGGATAGCAGCTATCCAAGTGGCCCAAGTCTGCAGGAGCTCACAACACAAAGATACACCATGCAATGCACTTACTTAGGGGGCCCTGGTCTGAACCCTAGTCCCCCAACTCTGGGACAGACTTTGGGACTCATACTTCAACAAAAGCTCCAAGAACTCCAGAGGAAATGGTGCCTGAGAATCAGACTTCCATAGGGAATTAAAACTTGAAAACAAAGAGGGAGCAGAAGCTGGCCAGACTTTGGGGACAGTCCAAGAAGGCAAGGAATTCACCCCCTCTGTGCAGGATGCTAGCAGGCCATTGATGAGGGCAGGACAATGTTCAAGCACCTTCACTCCCAACTCTGAGGAACTCCCTTTCTGTTCCCTGGAGAGAAAACCACTACAGTGAAAAAGGCAATCTATATTTTGGGGTTCCCAGAAGAGCTATGCTAACTAAAGCTAGACCACTCATACAGTGATGATGTCTTAGGAAGGCAACACCCTGTCCTCCACCCTGGGCCTGACACAGAGTCCTCCACGGCAGGCCCCAGGCAGGGAGGCCAGTGTCAGAGGAATCGTTCAAGATGCTCAGGGCTACATGCATTCCCCTGCAGCCAGGAAACGTGGGTGCGCTGATGAGGGCAAGGCAGGCTGATGTGGCAGATGGATTTGGAACTAGGCTCTCAAGGATGGGGAGGACCCACGTAGGCAGTAGGATGGCCGAAGGACATGGGAGGCAGTATAAACGCTTTTTCATTGTCCTCTCAAATCTTTAATGAACTCCTGTTTTGTGCTGGGCAACCTGCTAGACACAAAGTGGGAAGGGAGACAGAGGTTTCCGTTAAACCCATCACTCTCTAAGACAGTAAGAACATGGGTTTGGATTCAGACAACTAGGAAATGTTTTTGTTAATGGGAGATAATTAAGCAAGATAAAGTCTGGAAGGTACCAGGGGCCAGACTTCAGCACTTCAGTTGTTTCTGTCCCCTTCTCCTCTGCCAGGTCCTGGCTTCTGATCCGGTCCTCCCCACCAAGAAGGGGCACTACAAAGGGAATTCTGGATGGCCTCCCCAGCAAGGCTGAGCTGAAGAAAGGAACTTGGCAGGTGGTGGTGTTGCTCCCAAGCAGCGCTGACCCAGTTAGGCTATGGCTCTCAGCTCCAGGCCTGTCAGGACAAGGCCCCTGTGCTCTGTTCACAGGCCTGTCCCAGTGATTTGCATGCCACTTCTCAGGGAATGTGCCCATTTAGGCTGCTGTTAACCAGCCATTTCCAGTATGGTTCTTTTTTGGGTATAGATAAAAATCATTCTAAGACACCCAGCCTGGTTCCAGGGTTCACAGGCCAGGGACCTGCTTGGCTGGCCACAGTAACTTGCTGGCATTTGTGCCCAGGGGTACTATGACTGCTCCTGAACAGTTCTTTAGTCCATCTCCGCAGTGCCTCACAGACACACTGCCCCACCAGGACCCTAACTTCATGCCTTTGTTATTCCTTCACTGGGCTTTTGCAGAAGCCTCCCAGCAGTCTCTGGTCTACACCCTCCCCTCTCCCACAGTGACACAAATCTGAGCAGGTGGTTTCAGGGCCATTTGAAAGGCTCTCCAGTGCCTTCAGGATAACAGCTACATTCCTTAGTGGAGCCACTGACACTTATTAGGAGCTGACTCCTAACCTCTCCCAGCCTCATTGCCCCCACGGACTCCTTCATGTGTCACTTAGGCCAGACTAGTAATAACAAGGATTGCTAAGGTTTGCCAAGCTTTTATTATGTCATTGAGCCAAGTACTTACATTCTTGTTTAATTTTCCTAACAATCATAAGAGAGAAATTATTATGCTTTATAATGAAGAAACTGAAGTTTAGAGAGCTGTGTAACATGACTAGAGGGCCAGCTGTAAGCTAAACCCTGAATCCACACTGGCTCCAAAAGTGCTTTCAGGTCTCCACAATGGTGCTCATGCTCTTCCTTCTGTGGGGAACATCTGCCATCTTTTTCCCTTTGGTGAACTCCTATTCATTCTTCAAAACTCACTAGGGCCTCAGTCGTTGCCTCTGTGGAATTAAGTCTCTGTGCCACTGCCCTTTCATACATGTGTCTGTTACTCAGTTCCCCGTGTAGTGTGGCGTTTGCTTCCAGGTCTCCCCACCTAGATTCGTGGCGACTTTGTCTCATCTCTGTATCCCAATAAACACGAGTTAAACTGAAGTGAAAATCAGAGCATAGTCACTTGGAAAATATGTTTATCTGACAGTACTCAAATGTGGGCCTGAAATTTTTCCTCTGAAGTCATGGGGTGCACCCCAGGTGAATTCGCCTGTGTTATTTCATGAACCCAGTCCCCACTATTCTCCCAAAGTATGATGTCAGCTTTTCTGACAAGTGGTGTGCACAGGAAGTTTGCCTCCCTACATATTCTGCTGTGGCTCGTACTGAAGACGACAACTCCTGCCTGCACGGAGCTCCCAGGGAAGAGGCCGCGGCAAGGCTGGAGGGAGAGCCAAGATTCGCACACAGGCACCCTAGCCTGAGTCTGAACCACGGCAGTAAACTGCCTCTGAGAGATGTTCCCGGAAGCAAAGTAAAAGAAAATAACCAGAACTGCACATTTTGGGGGCAGTGTAATAAACAGCCTGACGCCCGTCCTCCACCCTCCCAAATGCCTGCAGCTCACAGCAGACCCTTAGCTCAGGGAGACAAAGCCTAGAGCCCCTCTTACATACTGGTGTGCTGCCCCTTTTCCCCGTTATTTACATGACAAGCACTTAGTGTGTACTCAACACTCACAGGTATTAATCCTCATAGAAACCCTGTGAGGTAGGCACTATCATTAGCTCCATTTTATGAGAAAATGGAGGCGCAGGACAGCTAGGTAAAAGGCCCAGAGTCTCTTGGCTGGTAAGTGGCAGGGTCAGGATTCAAACTCAGGCAGTCTGGCTCAAGCTGTGCTCTTAATAACCTCTCTGTACTCGTGCTAGTGCATTTTCAACGGACTCCCCTGCATAGTAATGTGCTGGGGGTGGGTGCCAGGCATTGGTAGCATCTCCCCCGGTGCCCCCATCTGCCCAGCAGCTATGGTTCCGCCACTCCTAGCAGTTACCCACTTGGTCTCTATTCTCAAGTCCCAACTCTTCCGCTAGCTGTGTGGCCTGGGGCCCTCAGCCCCTCTGAGCACCCAGCCCGGCACTCACAGATGTGGAAGTACTCCTCCCCGTAGCTATCCCGGGTCTCCTGCGGCAGCCGCTCCCACAGCTTCCGCATGCGCGTCTCCATACCCTCCTTGCCCAGAATGGATGTCCGGTAGTTCCCTGGCTCAATGATGCTGACTTTCACCCCAAAATAGTGGAGCTCACGCCTGGAAAAGAAGAGCTGGACTCAGTCTGGGGCCCCAAGGTGACAAGAGCCATCAGCAGAGTCACCTTAGACACCATTAAAGGGCTTATCTCCCCAGGACCCTGGAGGTGCTCCCCAAGCCTTGCACAGGCTGGGCTTGCCTTGGTGCAAACAAGCCCCGTGTCAGCATCTCCCCTAGCCCGACTCTGGGCGATTTGCATTAGGCTCTGCCTCTCACCAGGTGGCCCCCACTCAGCCCCACAGCCCACACCCACAAGGCAAAGGGAGTGAGGGGGTCTGTGCAAGACCTGCAAGGGCCTCCCACAGGCACGCCTGCGCAGGCCTCTCTGGGGGACTCTCCCTCCTACTCCCACAGGCCTGAATGGGGCTTTGCCTAACCTGGGACAGCTCAAGGGGAGGCAGGAAGACAGCTCCTGTCACTGCCCCACCGCTTCCCACCCTCCTCCTCCTGCCTGGGGAAGGCCTCCTCAGGACTAGCCTCCCTCCTGCTCCTTCATTGCCTTCCTCACTCCAGAACTCCCCGCCTACATGCCGTCCCAGGACTCCCACTCAGAGGGGCCTGCCACGAGACCCAGTCACCTAAGGCTGTCGGAGAAGGCCTCTACACCAAACTTGGAGACACAGTAGCCACCACCGACGACAGCCACACGGCCGCCAGAGCTGGACATGTTGACAATCCTGCCCCGGGCTTTCTTAACCATGGGCAGCATGTGGAGGGTCACTTCGATCAGTCCCACCAGGTTCACATTGATCACCTTCACAAAGTCCTCCTTGGTCAGCCATTCATTGGGACCACTGGGCAGGCCCACACCAGCGTTGTTCACCAGGGCCCAGAGGCCTGGGGGCATGAGGAGGGAGAGAGAACCACACAGAAATCGTCACCATCTCTGGAAAAGCAACAGGGACTACGACCCACCAGTTCAGGGTGGCCAAGAATGGTTAAGCAGGTGCACAAGGCACAAGGTAGCCAGGCTGGGGGTATGGGGGGTGGGGAGCTATGACAGCTGGAAGGAAGATGTGCCTTTTACTAATGAGTTTTCTCTAAAGGAGAACTTTTTCTGATTCACACAGTCTGCCATCTGGCTGGGACCCTGTGCTAGCTATGGTCCAGGCTTTATCTAACAGCACTTTAACTATTATCTCTGAGAAGAGAGAGATCATTTTCAGACTAATGATTTAATGTTTGAACTCCTTCCCCCATCCTGTTCCCCCTCCCTACTCACACATCACCAAATCGCCATGCAGGAAGATGCTACAGACATAAAATGAACAGGACAGAATCTTACCACTCAAAGAGCTCACAAACCAGAGAGAAAGTAAATAAATATATAATATTTATTCAAAAATCAATACATAACCATTTAAATAAGATAATTTTGGGAAAACATGAGCAGGGCTGTCTCTGACATATTTCATTTGAGTTGGTGTAAATGAAAAGAAACAATAATTGGTATTGTCATTCAGCGCTGCAGGGGCCCAGGCTTAAAGAACCTCAGGTTCTAGACCTGCTTCTGTCCACAGCTTGGACAAGTCACTTCCTCTCTCTGGGCTCCCGGTTCTTCATCAGGTAGACTAGAACAGTGGCTTCCAGCCTGTGCTTTGCAATCCTGAGAGCTTTCCAGGCTGACCCCCAGAACCTGCTAAGGGAGGAAGATTCAGAGAAGCCCAACTTTCATTTGTTTTACATTCTGAGCCTCCAAGTAAATCTCCACTTAGAGGAGAATGTTGGATCAAACACCGTGTTGGAAAAGGCTATAAACGACCCCTAAGTCGGCCTTCCAGCGCCTCACTCAGGGATCCCTGAGCCCCACTTCCCTGGCTCCTTCCCTCTCCCCAAGCCCAGACCCTACCATGACCCCAACAGCCTCAAGGTACTCCTCCGGGCACGCTTTCCACGCACTCCTGAGGGCGGGTCTGGATGTGAATACCACGCCTGGTCCACCCCCGCCCCAGGCCTGGGGTCCACACACAAGCCACGCCCACCTATCCTCCTGCCTTCCTCCAATTAACGAGACCCAGGAGACCAGTTGGCTGGCAAGACCAAGAACCTTCCCAGCTATAGAGGACTCTAGTCTTACAGAGGAAGAAATGAGGTTCCCAAGACCCAGAGGCTATAAAACCCACATGATCTCTGCCTGTGGAGAAGGGACACACACTCACCACTACTCTGGTCATCCCTGGCAAACAGTTCTACCTGCTGAGGAACCAGGACTGCCTTATTTTTTCTCTGTAAAGAGCACCTGGAGAACTATCAGAGCAGTGTGAATAGCTCCAGGGCTGTGCCAACCCATCATGTCCAGAGACTCAGGGGCAACAGGCATGCAAGAACCCCTCTCCCCCATTTTTTAGTGGTTTTAGACCAAGGATGTTGCCCAACAGGGTAGACAGAATAATGATCTCCCAAAGATGTCCACATGCTAATCCCTGGAAACTGTGAATATGGTGGATTATATGGGAAAGAAGAATTAAGATAGCAGATGGAATTGAAATTGCTAATCAACAGACCTCAGTTGGGGAGATTACCCTGGATTATCCTGATGATACCAATGTAATCACAAGGGTCCTTCCAAGAAGAAGGAGGCAGAAGACAGAGAACCAGAGTGACAGCAGTGTGGAAAGGACTCTGCTGCCCTTGAAGATGCTGGCAGAGGGTAATGCACCAAGGAGAGCAGGTGGCATCTAGAAGCTGGAAAAGGCAATGGGATGCCTCCTCCCCTGGTGCCGCCAGAAGGAACACAGCTCTGTCGACACTTTGATTTTAGCCCGTTGAGATCTATTTTGGACTTCTGGCCTCTAGAACTGTAAGATAATAAATTTGTGTGGTTTTAAGCCATGAAGTTTGTCTTAATTTAGTAAAGCAGCAACAAGAAATTAATATACACAGTGACTCACTAACATGAGTGGCTCAGGGCTGAATGTAGGGCGCTGGGCGAGGCAGCCTGTTGAGAAAAGGGACTCACTCTTGATGAATTATTCATGAATTAGTTCATTCAACAAATATTTATTGAGCACCTAACTAGATGCCAGTCACTGCTCTGGGTACTAAGGGTATGTAGTAAAGAAGAGGGACCAGAAGGCCTGCTTTATTCTGGCAGGAGAAACAGACAAAAATAAGTAAAATAGGTAAAACGTATTGTATATTGGATAGTGGTAAATGGTTAGGAGAAAATAAAGCAGGGACTTACTGTCTGGCCCCTCCTGGGTTCCAGGGCTGTCCTGCACCCCCCTTGTGTGCAGGGCCCCAGGCTAGTTCCTGGAGGAGTCAGGACCTCCCCCAGGCTGCTGCTTCTACAGCACAGCCACCTGCTCCTCCCATTCTGTGCCCGTGTCCTGCGTACGGGAAGCTTCCCGGGCAGGTTCAGCCCAGCGCACAAACTCCTTTCCAATAAAGGCAGCCCCTCTGACATCAACACTTACCCTGAAATCAACCCAATATCCACCGTGATGTGAGTAAGAGAGCAAATCTCTCTCTCTGCCTCTGAGCCTGATAGTCAAGGACAGCAAATGCCCCCAGTCAGGGAGGCCAACCTCCCATTCCCTTTCCACTCCCCACCTCCCAGCCTGAGAGGCAACTCCATCTTTAGAGGTTTGGACCTACAGAACTCGGGTTCCCTCTCCCACCACCTATGGCAACTTCCCCCATCCCTCTGAGCCTCTGAGAGAGAAAACTTCCTTGGGAGATTAGCCCTTCATGCTGAGATAGAGCAGAGAAATGGGGCAAAGGTCACTCTAGATCAACACAGTCACCTGAATAACCCTATTCTTATGACAAAACTTCAAAGGAATTATTAATCAACTGTATACATCACGCCTCATGCTGACCCCTACCCAAACCCTAAACCTTAAGTGTGCCTCCTCTCTGAGGTCGCCTGCACTCCCATCTGAGAGTGTACTGTCCTATTAGATAAACTTTGTTGCATAAGCCAATTGCACTTGTCTCTGAACTCTTTTTCGTGATAACCACAGGAACTCACTGTCCTCCACCTCCAGTAATAAATGTCTTTGTCACTTTGCTATTTCACTCAGCTTTCTAGACTTAACACAATCCTTTTCTCTCTCCCTGTTTTATTTCAGACCAGTAGGGAGTGGAAGTTCCCAAATCATAATCTCACTCCACTGAGTGCTCCACAGCTCTCCCAGATTCTGGGGTGGTAGGGATATAATTCCCACACTGTGCAGTCAAGCACTGTCAGTGACACTGGATACCAGGTGACCCTGGCTTTAGGAGTTAGCAGCCGAGCAGGAGTTCCCTGGACTTCCCTCTCCTCCTCAGGTCTTCCTTGCTCTCTATGGCCTGCATGGCTGCTGCCATCCACTAATACTCTCGCTGTAGTGAATTCCTTTCTTGCTGGCACTTGTTTGACCTGATAGAGAATTCTTTCCCGTCCAGGTTGAGGTTTCTTTGAGTGCACAAGGAGAGACCTCCCCAGACACTGCCAACTGGCAACAATATGAACAGGCCAAACCAGGCAACAGTTTCCAATCCCACCAGCCAGAGCACCAGCCCCCTTCTCCATACCACCTCTCCCACCCCATCTGAACAACAGGGTCCCTTAGCTATGGGAGAAAGGAAGAAGGTGAACTGGGAAAGCCAAAGAATGCGAGTCACCCCACCTTGCTCGCCCACTTGGTCCCTCACCCACTGGGCCACCGCCTGGATGCTCTCAGTCTTGGTGACATCCAGTAGTGTGGTCTGCAGTCGGTAGGATGTATCCTGCTGAAGCTTCTGGGCCCCCTCCTCCGTGAAGCAAGTAGCCAGCACCCGCATGCCCCGATCCACCAGCTGCCTGGCCAGCAGGTTCCCGAAGCCTGAGTCGCAGCCCGTGATGAAGACGTACTTGTCTGGGAGGTTGGAGACCAGATTGCGGTTCTTGAACCAGCGATACATAAAAGAGAGGTCCATGAGAGCCGCCATAGAGCAGGGAGAGGCAAGAAGGCTCAGGCTCAGGGGACAGTGGGAGAGGCTGCACCCTGCTGAGAAGAGCTCTCCTCTCTTCCACCCCTGGCAACAGACACAGGGCCCTTGGGTGAGCCACACTATAACTTCTGAAGGCGGATGCATCACCACACCAATTAGCCTAGATGCAAGAAATTCAAGTCCAACCTGAAGCCTTGTCACCTCACACAGCCCTGGCGGCTGCCACTCTCTCCCCCAGCCCTGATGCGTGAAGGCACCAAAAAAAGGAACTAGCTCAATCTGTATCAGGGTGATGGTGGAGGGGCTGGGGTGCGGGCGCCCCTCAGGAGACTGAAGAAAGGCCTAGAGACTGCACCCCAGAATCGCTGACCCTGAAGGAGCTCAGGGTGAGGTGGAGGATACCACTTCATAAAAGGCGCTGGACTGGGGAAGGCACAAAAGAAGCCAGTGTCTCTGCTCTGGACGCCTTCCTCATTGTTCCCTTTGGTTGTAGGTGGGACTGCTGAGAGCTGGCTGCAGCCATGAAAGGGTCCATCCCTCCAGGTGGGAGGCAGAGCAGCACAGCATGGCTGGTCCTGCAGAAAGCAGCCGGGTCCTGGTGCTGCGGAGCCGGCCAGGACCCTCCTACGAGGCTTCCCAAAGGTCGGGGAGGAAAAAGGCTGGCGGAAGGAAGGAGCCCTGGAAACTCAAAGGGGACGGGGCGACATGCAGTGTTGCCCAGTCACCGGACACTGTTCAGCATAAGGTTCTGGTTCCTTTGCTTGATAGGAACTGCAAATGTGACCACACATTTCCTCGACCATAAGTTCCCAAGGGGCCGTGCAGCACAGCCATCTCCCAGTCCGCACGCCTGCTGCTTCACGCTTGTGAGTAGGGAAGTAACGTGCCCGCTTGCCAAGGGTGCCAGGAGCTGAGGAGTCCACCGCAGGCTGGAACGATCGCAGGAAATTCGGAAGAGAGCCGTACGGGGGAGAAGAAGCCCGGGGTGACCCTCACTCATCTCGGAACGGCCGGGGCCACAGCGTGAAATCCTGCAGCTGTGCCGGGGGTTGGACGCTGGCGGGAGCGATTCTGCGCTGAGACCCGGCACCGGGCGTCCAGCCGCGGCGATCGCCACCCCACCGCACAGCCTGCCGAAGAGATGCTGGGCCGCTCAGGGACTGCACTGCGGGCCACGCGCGACCCCTGGTGGTGTTCTGCAGAAAGCCCGCAGGGATCACTGTCAGGAGGCGGGGCGAAGCCCTCACCCACCCACCCCCACCCATTCCCCTGCTCCACTCAGGGTCGGTTTTCCAGAGAAAGGGAGACAAGGTGAGGGAAAGGACCGGGAGAGGGTTACTTGTGCAAGCTCCTTTCCAGCCCTACAGGCATGCAGCACCCACACACACACCTGCAGGTGGGACCCCAAAATGTGCAGACACATCAGTGCCTTCAGGGCTGGAGATCTGATGCTTGGAGGAGATGAGTTGTGGGTCAGGAGTCACTGACCCTGTGCTCCTCAGAAAGAGCAAGGACATCAAAGATGGGCAGTGAGGGCAGCTTCTTTGTGGCACCTCTTGGACTCTCGTGGCACCCCCGTGGCCAGGGTTCTAACCCATCAGACTGAATCTGGCTCCCTCCCCAAGGAAGAAGCCTGCAAGGAGCCCCACTTGGGTCCACTGAGGGTCTAGAGTGAGGACCTGGGCTGTTTGCATTGGACTTCTTTTTCACCACCACTGTGGCTCTGCCTTTGAAAGTTGGCACCCTCAAGTCTCAGGCCACAGCCTGGGCCATGGCACCCATCTGGCTGCAGCCCTGCCCCCTCTGTAGACCCCAGCATGGAGGGACAGGGGTTTGTCCCTCACAGTTCTCTGACACTCTGGAGGGCACTCCTGGGGCTGAGTCCAGCCCTCCTGAACACATGGCCCCCAGGCTGCAAAGTGGCTCCACCATCCGCCTTTTATCTCTGTTTGTTCAGGACCTTTGGCTGCGTGTGCAGGTCGGTGTGAATGCTAATAAAGGGAAACCTCGATGACATGGAGCAGGAGGGGAGCAGGAGGTCAGGGGGTTGGCCTTCTACACACCCCTCTGCCAGCGTTTCAGACCCCACCAGCAGAGACTGAGGCCAAGCTGCTGCACTCGCCTTCCGCCCCAGCAGGGAGGTTCCGCCTGTGCCTCCCAGTAAAGTCCAGCCGCTGAGACTGTCACGGCACAGCCAGGATGAGGAACTGCCAGTTTGCTCCGCTGGGCTTTATCCCCGCATCTGCTCTCCCAACTCAGCTCCTTCTTCTGTAAGAGCTTTCCGCTCTTTTCCTCTGGGCTTACCTGTGGTTTTGCCATAGCTTGCACATCCAAGATTGGAATTCTCTGCTATCCCAAGTAAGCCCATTTTTGCTAGTAAATTTAACTTTTATTTTTAAAGTAACTCAGTAAAGTTATGAAACTCTGGGGGGTTCAGATGAAGCATGAAGATCTTGCTTTGCCTTTCAATTGGGGCCATGGATTGACCGTGAGTAGGCTGACCCGAGCTGTGATGGGCTCAGAAATCCTCGAGGAGCCTGCCGGTCACCTTTGTGTCTAAAGCAGCCCTTTCTCTGACACCAAGCCCTCACTTTAGGGGGAGAAGGAAGGGCTCAGCCACCTTTTCACTGAGACACTGATACTGCTCTACAGATGAACATTCCCCAAAAGCTCCCTACCTTTGGTTTTAGCAGAGGGAACAAAACTAAGACCCCCACCCAACTCCACAGTGTTCGCAGCCCTAGAATCTGTACCACTTCTGCAAATGCTTTCTTTGCTGAGTCCTTACTGGGAAGGTCCACAGAACACTGGATTCAGGGAGAGTAGGGGCCTCAGGAGGCTCGGGTTAATGAAGGGATCCTGCCTGCACACAGTAGGTGGGCAACAAAGGTTAGCAATGAACACAACAGCTGAAGACTCAGACCCAGAAGACACTCTTCCTGCCCTCCACTGCAGGGTACGGCAAGTGGCCCTGGGCAGGGAAGACTGGGGTGGCCAGGACAGAGGGTGGTGACTCTGAAGGAGGGGACAGATAGAGGGTCACAGAGAGGTTGCTGCAGAGGGGAGAGGCTGGATATCTCCAGGGAAAGTTCTGAGCCCTGCCAGTGACTGAACGACCTCTCCTTGCCTGTCTGTCTCGTGTCTAATCCTGTGACCCCAGGTACTTGACCAATCCTGGAGAGGAGACATTAGACCCCACCCCACCCCCTGCCCCTGCTTCTGTAGAAGGAAGGACATGATCTGACTTCCCACTACAAATCTCTCTTCAGGTCATCCCATACCCCTTAACCTCCCCAGAGGCGGCTGACTGTCCCTTTCAGAGACCCACACTCCACTGCTTCCCAAGACCACAGGACCACTAGAACTTGGCAAGCTTCTCAATTTTTTATTTTGAGGCAAAAATGACTTGCAAGAATCCACAGTTTCAAGATAAATCAAAAAGTGGTTTCTGTGTCATCTGTTAAGATTCTGGCAGAAGACACCCCCTTCTGAGCAAGGGCTGTTTGGTTGGCACATGAGGCTGATGGGTCAGCTGGATGGTCGCCCTTCACATCCCAAACCCTGTACACAGGCATCTTCAGAAGAAGTGAGTTGTTAACCCCCAGGCCATTTCCATCCTGGGGTGAGGGAGACGCCAAGGCCAAGAACACCCTGAGGAGGAGATGGCACGGACAGCCAAGTGGGGGCTGAGACCCACCCCATTGCTCACACTGCCCTGAAGACATGGATTCCCCAGGGTGGCAGGAGGGCCATGAGACTCCCAGGTGTCCTATCAGGTACCTGTCCCTCAGGCACAAAATGTTTTTACAACCAAGTATCCCCCAGAGTCCTGAGTAACCACCCAGGGGGGTGGGGAGGGAGGATGGGCACTCCTGGTAACCTCAGAACCCCTCTCTCCGCTCCCCACCATGCATCCCCTCCCTCACCCAGTCCCCACTCCACCCTCCCACACACCCCAAGCTGGGGTTACAGGGCTTTGGAAGGCTCTGGAGCCACCCAATAAAGCATGGTGTCCACCAGGAAGGTGGGCATGTAGCTCAGGGGGAGGTAAAAGAACTTAGCATCCCAGCCAGGTATGTATCTGGTGCAGGGATAGCAGGCAGTCAGGGCATGCTCCATGCAGTCCGTCACCAAGGATGTATTGTCAGACCACCTACTTTCCAACTTTGCAAAGAGTTTCGTGGCTGTTCAGAAGGAGACATAACCCAAACATATTTTCATTTCCCAGTCCTCCCACTTTGGGACCAACTTAAAAGTTTCTAAAAATTCCTCTGCCCCCCAAAATCATGCTGCAAAACAAATTCATAGGTTTCATTGCAATGTGGCCCAACACTGCCCTAGAATGCTCTCTAACTAGGCCCCCTTGGGCTATAATTCAGTGAATACAGGCTACACACACTGGGGCTCTACAAATACCGGACATCTAAGCACAAAACCAACAGGCTCTGTAATCACAGGTCTATCATCTTCTCTGGCTTCAATTTCATCCTCAACATAACGAGGGCTTCATATGAGAAGTGGTCCCAAACTAAAAGCTCAGAACCTCTCCTTAGTTTACCAGGTGACCACATGGAAACATGGGAACAGTAAATGTCCCCACTGTATGAGTGAGTCAGCACCCAGAGTAGCCCTGGCGCTGTATGGGGCATTCATGGGAAACCCAGGGCAGACCATGATTGCTGTCCCCCACAGACTGCAGCTCACTCACAGGATGCCAGGAACTCCTCCCCATAGAGATCCTTGACCTCTGAGCTGGTCAGCTCCCATGCCTCCTGCAAGCACCTGAAAAGCCTGTCGTAGTTGGTCATGGCAGTCTTGAAGTAACCAGGCTCAATCACAGCCACCTTCACCCCGAAGTAGGAGAGCTCCCTTCTGCAAGGCAGACAGGCAAAGAGGCAAAACTTCAGAGGCTTTGGGAGACAAAACACAACAAACAGGAACAATGTAACCCTAACACACGACTGGTTGAGATAACGAGGGAAACTTGCATTGTCGCAAGGTACCGTGCCAGGGAAGAACGACTGGCAACAGCAGCTTCTTTGCATAAAGCTTGTCCAGTTCTCCATGTAGTTCACACACACACACGAGCTAAATCCTGCCCAGTCGGCTGCAAGACATCCCTTAAATGCTACCTCCTCCTATTTCCCCTCATGACCCATAGATTCTTCAGACTTTGCCTGTTTCCCCTCCTCCATACCCCTTCAGTCCTTCCTCCCCTCTCCTGTTCTAGTGCCCTGGCTGTCCTCTGCCTCTAGGAGCATCTCTGCCTAAAATGCTCTCTAACTAGGCCCCCTAGGGCTATATCCAGCGAATACGGGCTGCACCCATGGGGGCTAACTATCTTAGCTCCCACACACTCAGAGACTTCCTCTGCCCGCAGCCAGTTGGCTCTCTACAGGCTGATTAGGTAAGTGGCTCCCCTGATTAAATCCCTTTCATGGGGTTCTGCTGCCAACAGCATGAAGGACCACAGCCTGCCCAGGGCCCACATCCCTGCAGATCCCACCCATGCCCACATGCCCAGCATCCCTACAGCCAGACCAGGCCTTATCCTTTACCCCAGAGGACCCTGCAGCATAGGTGGGCCACCATTACTCATCCAGGACCCAGGCGTCCAGAAAGGCTTCCTGCCCTACTTTGCCAGGTTGCCAGCTTGACAAGTTCCATTCTTCAATCCTCAGTTCAGAGCCCTCTTGGGACCCTCTCCTCAATAACTGGCCACCACACTCACCACGGCTAACACGGTCACCAGCAGCAGGGCAGATGGCCACCCAGTTCTGTATCACATGTCCCTGTCTCAGCTGTCAGACTTCCTAAGTGAGGGACCAAATGTTGTCATCCTCAGACACATTTATTGTGCAGTCACAGAAGTGCCCTGGGCGTGGGCTCTACAGCCGACTATGCAGGTTCCAACTTGGCCCCAGATACTTTCTGACTGTGGGCTCTCCTGCAGGCCAGGGTTAGGTGGAATCAAAACCCCCACTGGGACACCCAGGATATAGGCAGGTGATTTCCCATGACTGCCTGACACCAGGCAAGAGGAGGAAACTGGAAGAAAGAGCCTCTGAAGGTGTGAGGACATGAACCCCCAGCAAACACTCCCCAGAAGCCCAGAGGCAGAAGGACCTAGGGAGGACC